CCAGCCAATAAAACTATAAAAACCTCATGTCCGACAAAAAGGGTGTATTTTCCAGTGCTGTTATTGTGTCAAAACTGCTTTGAGATAACCAAACACGCTTTAAAAACAAATTTACCAAAAACAGACAACATTGCTTTTTCAGTTAGAGAAACAATTTCAGTGTTTCGTGAAGAAGCATGTAAAGGTGCAGTCTTCAGAAGCACGCCTAGGTACAGTCATTACAAGCATTGTCAGGTGAATAGTTTCCAAGGAAATATTTTATGTGCTTTTAGCAAAAACGGTACTAAATGCTCGATATGGTAGTACTTCTAAACAAGCCAGAGCTTTTCGCAGAGAACTACTGTACGAAGGCAAAAGGAAAGTGATGAGGACATCTTTGTCAAACCCATTAGGGTTTACAAACGAAAGAGATGGAAGAGGGAATTATTAATTAGTTTCCTAATCTATTTTTCAGTTCCTAGGTTCTCTAAGTTTTCCAGATTTATTAGGATTTTTAGTGTTTCCAGATTTCAGTAGGATTTCTAAGTTTCCTATTTTATTTGGATTAGGATTTCCTTCCTAGAATAAGTTTAATTGATTGTGTCAAAACTGCTTTGAGATTACCAAACACACTTTAAAAAAAAAATTAGCCAAAAACAGACAACAATGCTTTTTCAGTTAGAGAGACAATTTCAGTGTTTCATGAAGAAGCATGTAAAGGTGCAGTCTTCAGAAGCATGCCTAGGTACAGTCTTTACAAGCATTGTCAGGTGAATAGTTTCCAAGGAAATATTTTATGTGCTTTTAGCAAAAACAGTACTAAATGCTCAATATAGAAGTACTTCAAAACAAGCCAGAGCTTTTAGCACTCAATTCACCCATATCCTACATCAGAAAGTAAAAGTATGAAAACATTTAGCAGAGAAATATTTGACACGAAACACTGTCACATTTCAAGACACACAATACAACACTAGGAATGATGATGAAAAACATATGAAATCCTGCCTGTACTGTGGTTTTTTTAAACACAAAATAAAATGAACATGTATACTGTTTCGGATCATCACATGGGTGAAAGAGACGGATAGGATAAAACTATAATGCAAATGCAGCACAGAAATCCTTGTTAAAAAACATTTTTTTAGTATAATTGTTTTCTGAGTACGCCTGCCATTCCTTCCACAGGAGAAAAAAAGACATACAAACTCTGATATTAAGAAAGCCTAAGCGTGGCATATCAAAAACAAGCACCATGAACCAATAAAACTATCAAAAACTCGTCTCCAACAAGAAGTGTGTACTTTGAAGTACTTTTAATTGTGTCAAAACTGCTTTTAGATAAACAAAGATGCTTTTTTTTTAGTAATTGGAAGAAATCGACAACATTGCTTTTTTTGGTTAGAGAAACAATTTTAGTGCTTCATGAAGAAACACCTAACATGTGCATTCTTCAAAAGAATTGTCAGGTCAATGCCAAACATATGTGAATTTGTAATGAAATCGTTTATGTGCTATTAGCAAACAAGTTACTAGATGCTCCATAGAGAAGTACTTCAAAACAGGCCCAAGCTTTTGCAATCGTCTAACGAGTATCTAGCAAAGAACTACTGTACACAGGCAAATGCAAACTAAAAGTACGAAAACATTGAGCAGAGAGATATTTGACATGAAAACTGTTACATTCAGGACATACAACAACACTAGGACTGATGATGAAAACCACATACAAAATCCTGGATGTCCTATGGTTTTGTTAACTACCAAATAGATTGAACATGTATACTATTCTGAATCATTCCATGGGTAGAAGAGAGATAGGATAACACCATAATGCAAATGCAGCACCAAAAATCATTGTTAACAAAGAAAAAAAAAGGTATAAAATGTATTTGGTTTCTTAATATCAGTTTGTTTCTGAGCATGACTGCCATTCCAATCATTGAAAAATAGAGAACAAATACATGAACACTCTAATATTAAGAAAGCCTAAGCTCGGCATATTAAAAATAAACACCATCAACCAATAAAACCATAAAAACCTTGTTCAATAGTGCATAAACAATACCGGAAAGAAATTCAAACAAACAATAAAATCTAGAAAGAGATTGCGTGGATTCATCTACTTTACCTCTTCTATCTGCATTTGTCTCATGCTTAATGTTCTCGATCAGTAATGCCACAGTAATTCGGTGAAACAAGACTCTCCAAGTAAGTTCCAATGCAATCAACATGGGGAAATCCAGGGATTGACAGATTGCAAAAGCTTTGTTCCTTAAAATTGTACATAACCAAT